GAATGCTCTCAGTGGATCGTCTCGTCAACTCCAACAACAAACTGCCGATATCAACGAGCGGTTCGCTCCACTGGAGCGTTCGGGACTCTGCGGGTTTCTGTCCATGGAGGAGAGGAACTGACTCAAAGAAGAAGAGACGGGCGCACGATCCCACGATAGCGGTAAGAATACGTTCGATGACTGCAGGCTAAGCTAAAAGTAGCGTAGCCTCAAGCTGAGCTAAGAGTAGCCTAGTAGCCTTACAAGTGAGCAGAAACAGCTTTATTAAAGTGTGTTTCTTTGCCGTGTCGTTTACAGGAAGTGGTGCGCCGTCTTCACAACTCCGAGACAAACTACAGGCGCCACGAACCGGAGCAAGGGTCAGATTTACTGAATACGCTTTCATTCTGCGCTATAAGGGAATATATACGTATGTATACCATAGGATGGATACCGATCATAACTGAACATTTTGTTTTCACAGACTAATCTCGCCTCATAATGAGGCGGTGACCTCGTATTTCCTCCGGGAAAAGTCCAGATTTTGACGACGTCATTGTGTGTAAGTGACACTCTCCTTCCTTGTTAAATGTTACTGAGACTTGCGTTTGATTTTTTTTTTGTATTCATACCACACTCATTTAATTGTTTTCCAGCCGCCTGTGAGACGTATTGTGAGACGGGACGCAGGAGCTTCAGGTTCAGCCGGAACACTCAATGCGGAGTTCAGCGCGGAGTCGAGCGAGAAGAAAGAGGGTCAGAGTTTATTTGCTGACTTGTTTCAGGTGCATTGATCGATGTGTTGTGTCCGTACGCATCGCATCGCACAGTACTGATTCATTGTTGTTTTTACAGCTGCTGGAATCGAGACAAAGTGCGCTGGCTGATGACGAGGTGGAACTCTGGAAATCCGCCACCGTAGAGCTCACGTCGGACGGAGGGGACGGCGTTGTTGGCGGGGTCTCGGGTGGATTGTACGGTCGCCACAAGCAGAGCCGCCTGCACAACAGACCTGCCTCGGAAAACACGGCGCCAGTGACGGTCTACAACCCCGAGGAGGCAAACGGACAGTTTACTGAGCTGTAGTTTTTAAACCGCCGTTACCCAAGTGTAGGCAGATCCTCACTTTATATGTAGTTGTTGTTTGTGTGTTGTTATTAAAGCTCTTTCTTTGCATAAACATGTGTCAAATGTTCATTTTCTCTATAAATTCATTGATGTCCTGGTTGGTATCCTAATAATAGTGAAGTAGCCTACATATGATAACCATGAAATGAATATACAGCATAATATGAATATATAAATAAAATGAGGCGGGTGACCAATAGCGACAGATCTGCCAACCAATCACGAGTGATTGAAAGTTGTTTTTATCCAATCATGAACAAGGAAACTCAAGCCTGGTCTGCCCAGGTGTGGTTTTGCTGCCAATCACGAGTGATTTTATTTGTTAGTAAGTTGTGGTTTCATCCAATAAGGAGTAAGGATATTCAAGCCCGCTCGGCTTGGCCACCCGCGGTTTCGCTGCATTCATATGCTAATTAGGACCATTCGCACCTCCGCCAGCTCTCCACCTACGTCATGGTTCGTTTCCGACAATTTGTGGCACAGACAAATGCGACGTGCGCGGGTTGCAAATTGTCGGAAATTGTCGGAAATTAGGGAGATTTCCGGGCGTTTACGGGGACGAAAATCTCACTTTTCATGCAGTGTCTCCTTCCGAGTTTGTTGGGGGAGCAGCATCGGAACCAGTCACACTGGCGGACTTAACAAACTGGTTAAGAAGGCCAGCCCCATCAGTGGAGAAAAAATAAATAAAAAATGGACATTCTGGAAAAAGTAGTGGAGGGCAGAAATTATTATCCATATTGGATAACCCGGAAGACCCTCTCCACCGCTTACTGCAGGGAAAATGACGCACCCATTTCAGACTCATCCAGCTCGGCATTCACATCCACGGGATTGTTCCTGCCCACTGCACTTAGCGTCACGATTCACAGCTGGATGAGGACTTGAGACCAGATTTAACTTGGAGGAAGAGAGGGGGGGAAAAAATAAAAAAATAAGATAGAGAGAGCTAACCAGGAGAGAGTAAAATCCATAAAAAGGGGCAGTCACAGTCATTAACAAAATACAGGAATTGTCACGAGAGGAAGAATAATGACAATCTGACAACAAATAAATATATATATGAGTGGCGTGATGAGGCAATTGGAGGAAACTGGGTGGACGGGGCAGGTGAGAAGACAGAGTGCAATCAGGGGAAAGACACGCACAAACATATGAGGCTAAGAGAAGTTACAGTCCCCCCTCTAGAGCCGGCTCCGGACGGCCCAGGCAGGTCTGTGTTGAGTTTGTGGAAATCCTTGATGAGGAAATCGTCCACAATTTTCTTGGTGGAGACCCAACTCCATAGACCATTGACCTCCCCGCTGTCGATGATCCGGGGAGGTGGAGGGCTGGTCCTTACTGGATTCACTCTTGAGATGAAGGAAGGAGGGATGGACCTTCATGGTCCTAGGGAGGTCCAACCGGAGCACACCAGGGTTAATGACCTTAGAATCTGTCGAACCGGGGCAGACCGGTGACAAAGTCCAAGGAGATGTGCGACCAAGACGTTTGACCGCACTCTCAATACCCCAGGCCACCACCCCCACCACGCAGGAAGGAGGCAGAATGGAAGTGGAGCTTCTCAGGGTGTCTCCACCAGTGTCTCCATTCCTTTAACGCCAGCTTGAGGGCCAACAGCTCCCGGTTGCCCACGTCGTACCTGCTGGGGACAGCCTCTTGGAGAAGAAAGCACATAGGTTGACCCAGTTTTCTTTGGGGGAGTGCTGCTAAAGAACCCCTTTTACCTCCGCATCGGAGGCATCGACCTCGACGATGAATGAGTTCGGGGTCAGGCAAGGTGAGGATGGCTCACCTCTTGAGGGCCTGGAATGCCTCCCCCGCTTGAGGGTTCCACAGGAACTCGGTGCCTGAGCAGGTGAGGTAATGGAGAGGGGCAGCCACCAAACTTTAGTTCCTAATAAAACGTCTGAAAAACCCAGAAATCTCTGCGGTTGCTTTCAGTCCGAAGGGACTGGCCAGTCAGTAACGTCATAACCATGGCACCATCCCTCTGGATATTCCCTGGTGACACAATGAAGCCCAGGAAGGGTCCGGAGCGTTGGTGAAACTCCCATTTTATAGCCTTGACAAACCGCTCATTCTTTAAGACCAAACGGCATAACAAGGTACTCATAGTGACCGCTGGGAGTATTGCAAGCAGTTCTCCACTCGTCCCCTCCCTTATTAACAGTCGTAGTGTCTTGTGCTTCTTTCCCACAAAGACGAAACTAGCTCCTGCTGGGGAAGAATGATACCAAAGTCCAAGGAGTTCTTTATGTACTGGCTCGTTGCCTCCCTTTCTGGGGAAGATAGTGAGTAGAGGCGTCGCTTGGGAGGGTGGGTTCCGACTAGGAGGTTGATGGCACAGTTGTAGAGACGGTGAGGGGGTAGGGAGGTGGCCCGGATGGGGTCAAAAACATCCCTAAGGTCCAGGTATATTGAGGGAACCCCAGAAACTTCTGAGGTTGCAAACTGGACACCAGATTTAACTTAAATCTTAAAAGATGGTTCTTAAAAAAAAAAAATTCCAAAGTACGAGCAAAATCTACAAAAAGGAGCAATCACGATGGCCACACACAACGGAAAGAATAATGACAATCTTACAAATGGAGTGGGCGGCGTGGTGGTTAGCACTATCGCCTCACAGCAAGAAGGTCCTGGGTTTGATTCCGTCCAGTGGCCTTTCTGTGTGGAGTCTGCATGTTCTCCCCATGTCTGCGTGGGTTCTTTTTTTTTCAATTTTTCTTTTTAACTTTTTTAATATTTAAAATTTTTAACTTCATTCCCTTGTTTTATACTAACCAATAGCCTTATTTTACTAACCCATTGCATTAGCATTTCATTTTACTTTATTTTATTACTTGTGCACTGCTGTCTTGTCTGTCTACTGTCGCGCACTAACCGCCAAGACAAATTCCTTGTATGTTTAGCATATTTTGGCAAATAAATGTTTCCTTATTCCTGATTTCTGTTTAAATTGTGCATTTTTTATTTAATTGACCTGCATATATTAATTAATTCTATTGTATCGGAAAAAACGATGCTGATGTATGTACAAAAATCTATTGGCCAATGTATTGATCAGGCTCAAGTGGAGGGGTTGTCATGTTTGACGAGGCTCTCTGCAGATCCCAAATATCTTGTGTGTTTCCTCAGTGCAGCCCTGGCTTTCAAAACCTTTTTACTGGCTGTCTTATTTTAAAAGATGACAAGGACCTATCAACTTTGACTATTTTAACTGTAACTGTTTTAGGTTTTTCCTTCAGTTTTACTCCAAACCTTCAGCCAGATATTTTTCATCTGGTAGCAGAAGTTTCTTGGTAGAAACGCCCTGATTAATGTCATTGATGACAGTTACTATTGTATTGTCTCTAAAAGTGCATTGGTGTAGTTTCCATTATGTTATTAACTTGGCTATCTTGAAACTATGACACACAGTTACCTGTCTTGCATCAGTTTGGGATTTCGCAGGGAGGGCATGTCTGTTGCCACTTGTTACATGCATGTGTCTTTTGATAATACAAATTCTTGTTAGGAAGGAAGTTAGGATTAAGTTAACTTTAAAGTAATTTGAAGAGCAACTCCTGTGAGTCACATGAATAATGAAAACTTTTACAGTTAGTTTTGCAAAAGACACCATCAGTGTCACGAATGGGTAGGTGGTGGCAGGACTCAAATGCAGAGTTGAAAACAAGGACTTTAATAGTCAAAAATTCAATAAAGGGCAAAACGCAGACAGGAACCAGGACCAGGCAAGACACTCATGGTGGACATTCAGGATTCAACATTCAATGACGCGACCAAGGGGGCACACAGGACTTAAATACACTGGGCAGGTGATTGGACACGGGTGGAGACAATCAGACAATCACAGGGGATGACAGGACAAGGCAGGAAGTTAACCCACGGACACAAGGGGCAGGAAACTACAAAATTAAACAGGAAACAAATCCAAACCGTAACAATCAGGATTTTGAGCCGCAAAATTTAAAATAACAAGTGAAAAAGCTCTGTAGCGATATACAACCCGAGTAAAGCGAAAATGTTGTTGTTGTATGGTTGAAAAAGGTGGGACTACAGGGTGGATGGATGGGTCTACACATCGTTCTAATTAGAAATCACAACGGCGTTCCTCTAACCTTAATCCAAACATGATTCAATTAACCGTAACAAACACCAATGTTGTCGCCCTACAATAATAGTACATGGGGTCTATTTCTCCCAAACTTTATGTTCAACACAAAGCTACAGAGCCAATGCTTCTACAGATACTTATCTCACTGTGGAAATCTTTTGAACCTAATTTAACACTATAGTAGAGCAACTAAGGGAGCATGTTTCCTAAGTAGGACATTCAGCACAGTCAAATCGGGTTGGCCAATCAAACGCCGTCTGTCTCTGAAGAGAGGAGAAAGTATTTAGATTCTCTTCATTCAACACAAGAAATAGAACACAATGACATCTCCAAGGTTTGCCGTCTATGTGACATGGTTGTTCTTGTGGAAAAAGAGTGAGTTGTGTTTTTGTTTCTAACTTTTCATCAAAATGCTTGTCTTAATATACTCTACATAGATACACATGCATATAAGATATATACCTAGATATGTATCTAGTTAGATCTAGGCATACACTGTATATAATAATTGTATAGTAAATGTGTATTTGCTTTGTCTCTTTTCACTTTAGCTCAAGCAACTGATCTGACTGTCCGTCAAGAAAGAGGTTTTGTGTCAGTCAATGTTGGAGACAACATTACTTTGCAATGTTTCCATCAGAAAAATGATAGTATGTGGCTTTACTGGTATAAACAATTGTTAGGAGAACAACCAAAGATGATCTCCACCTTCTACGTGCACAACACAGAAGGCAATTTTTATCATGAATTTGAAAACAATCCACGCTTTACACTGAATACTGAAAAAGGTCAAAATCACTTGACAATTATTGGTTTGAACTTTTCAGACTCAGCATCTTACTACTGTGCATATAAGACTTCATTTCTGTTGACCTTTGCCGAGGGCACTGTTGTCAGCGTGCAGGGTTCATCTTTAATCCATCAGTCACCATCAGAGACCATCCAGCCAGGAGGCTCTGTGACTCTGAACTGTACAGTACAAACTGGGACCTGTGATGGACAACACAGTGTTTACTGGTTCAAAGACTCTGAAGAATCTCATCCAGCACTCATTTACACTGATGGAGGCAGCACTGATCAGTGTGAGAGGAAAGCCAACACACAAACACACACCTGTGACTACAACCTGCTGATGGAGAGCCTGACTTCGACACATGCTGGAACCTACTACTGTGCTGTTGCCTCGTGTGGACACATTCTGTTTGGAAACGGGACCAAGCTGGATATTGAGGGTAAGTGATAATCCGGCTCGTCAGATGAATAGTGTTTTTTTTTAAAAGACCAGAAGAACACAAATATAAAAGCTGAAAGCTTCTTTTCTGCAGACATGGGCCACCGTCTGTATTTTTTAAGTGGAGCGTTGGTATTCACCACCATCCTGGTGGTACTACTGTTTTCTTTTGTCTACAAGCTGAAAAAGAAAACAAGCTGCCAATGTTCAGGTAAGTTTTTTAATCTGTAACCTTATATTCTATAAATATACATTTTAAATGAAGAAAATTTCTGTGTTTCACCATCAGAGTCTCGCGCAACCGTATCAGGTCCCTCCACAGGAAACACAGAGGTGAACTTCATCTAATTACTTTTTTTTTTCATTGTGGATACCGTTTTATATTTTTATATCTTAATCTACTTCTTCATACTTTGTCACCAGGGTTACCAAAACGCACAGAGCACTCATTATGCTGCTTTAAATCTCAATCTGCCCAACGGATCAAGGAGGCAGAAGATGAACATCGATGTTGAATGTGTGTACTCCAGCGTAAAGCAGTAGATCGTATTTTAAATGTAAAGTAGAGTGTATGAATCTCTGTATTATTAGATATGATGTATACATTTAGACCTCAAGATTTACAACCGATCCCAATAGTTTGTACAGTGGCAGAAAATGTTCTTTTGTAATTAGGTGGTGCGTTTTTGCCCAGCAATTTGGAAGAATGTTTTGGATGTAAATTATTGTCATTTGTAATCAAATATAGCCTATATATGATGCTTTCATTTGGGGACAATGTATTATGTGCATGTGCTTTGATCTACTGTAGAAATTCCCTTCGTTTAAGTTGTAAAAAAAATATTTTGTAGAGTAAAATGTAACAAGAAGAGTTATTTTTAACCACGTCTGTCGATGTTGGAGACCAAATTACTTTGCAATGTTTCTATCAGAAAAACGATGGAGCATGGCTTCACTGGTATAAACAAATAAAAACCCAAGCTAATCTCCACCTTCTTTCAGTTTAACAAAAATGGCACTTTTTATCATGAATTCCAGAACAACCCACGCTTCGCACTGGATACGGAAGAAAATCACTTGACAATTAATGACTTGAAAATTTCAGACTCAGCAACTTACTACTGTGCACAGAGCACTTCGTATGCGTTGACTTTTGCCGAGGGCACTGTTGTCAGTGTGCAGGGTTCAGGTTGGACCGTCCCAGCTTTGCTCCATCAGTCACCATCAGAGACAACCTTTTACCTTTTTGTAATTCATTAGCCATCCTTTAACCCAATAATGTAATCCCAATACTTTTAAGCAATCACATCCCATTCAGGTAATCACTCCACTGCAAAGATCACTGCAAACATCTGGCTTCAATCTCCAGGAGATCTAACTGCAAGTTAGGTGTTTGCCAATAAACACACATGGAAGTGAAGCCGGGTGGGAAGCCAGAGAGGCATCAAGTCCTTAGCAGAGCACTAGCTCCTCCATGGCACGTAAGAAGAAGTGGGTGGTGACAGTCAGAGGAAAAACGTATAAAGGAAAAGAACTGCAGTAAAAGAAGAGTAGGATGGTGAGTGAAAGAGGAACTCTAAAGAATGTAAAAACATTTTAAAATGTATTTAAGTAAAAAAATCAAGCTTCACATTTTGCAAACAACAGGTTGCCGCCTGTGATCAACTTGACACTCTACTTCTTACCCCTCTTGCATCAGGTTGGGATTTGGTAGTGAGGCCGTGTCTGTTCTCACTTGTTACATGCATGTGTTTTTTGATGATACAAAATCTGTCTTCAGAGGAAGTTAGGTTTAAGTTAACTTTAAAGACTAACAAGTCATTTGAAGAGCAACTTCTGTGAGTCACATGAATAACGACACTAACAATCTGTGACAAAATGTAATCTTTTACTATTACCGTAAATCCCGGAGTATAGAGTGCACCTGAAAATATGCTGCACCACCTAAATTTAGAACGAAAAAAAGATGTGTACATATATAAGCCGCACCGGCCTATAAACCGCAGGTGTCCACGGCAGTGACATGCGGTCACTGGAGTCACTGGACCGCACGTCACTGGAGGCAGTGCCTCCCCTTGTGTCATCATGAAATGTGAGAAAAATGATTAAAAAAATATACATATATATGTGTCCACTGATCTGTGATAGAAGTGTAATTATTAGATTCCAATCAATCCGATCATCGTTATAGTTAAAATTGCTGAATTTGTGGATTTTCAGCCACGAGCTGCGCCTCCTCTTGGATTGCGCAATCCCCCATAAACCAGATTGAGCTGCTCATGTTTTTGATCAATTTGAGCATGTGCAATTAATGTGTATGTGTTACCAATGTAATGTTTGTACACAGTTTTATCACATGTCCTCACTCCCCATAGTCTGGGTCCTGTATTTCACATATGTTAGTCATAACGCATGTTAGCTAATCTGACATAACGGCACAGTTAACAAGCAGTAAGAAGGCAGCTGGACTGGCAGCTTCCAGCTTGTCATTGCTGTGGGGGCGGAGTCAGTACCTCTGCCTGCCTGAAGGGGGCGTGTGTGAGCACACAGGCTCGTTCCGCTGTTGTTTTCCATCACGTATTACTGACTGATGGCATAGTTAGCATGTGCTAGCTAAAACAGTCAAGTAGCGAACATCAAGTGCACATTATCAGTTCTTGAAAACTGAAAACATACAGTCTGGATTGGACTGACCAAAGACGACTTTGACCCCGAGCAATTATGTCTATTGAGACAGAGAGACTGTTGAAACTAAAAGAAGAGGACTTTCACACCAAAGTCATCGTAGAGATGTTTTTGTAGAAAGATAGGCGAATGGACTTAACGTAATTTACAAGTAAAGGTAAGAGCATGCACACACTGCTGTACACGACAAAAATAAAAGACCAGCCCTATTTTTAATAATATTTAAAAAATATAGAAGAACATTTAAACAGGACAGTTAAGCAATAAGGTACTGTACTTTATTGTCAATAATGCACTGTTCAAGGGTGTTGTTGGCCAACCATATTGCTTTAGGTTGTTCGTGACATTATTAGTAAGTAAATAGCTGCCTTTCAGCACAAAACAAGTTGTAGCCACCAAACGTTGTGTATCGCATTTCAGTAGCCTACAGAAAATCCCCGTACTGCTGTTACTACGCAACAGACAAACAGCATTGGGAACTTCATGTTTGTTAGCCTAGCACCAGAAGTTATTTGATGATTAGCAAGGAGAGCGACATCAATTTGGGCGTCTCATTCATTCCTACACCTGAGTTGTCCTCTTTGGCTAAAAGGTGCCCTAAATCGGTTGCGAAAACACACATTTCCCAAAACTGCTCATCTGCGCTGATCGTCACCGAGCTAAAAACTGAGATGACAACCGTCGCGCAAAATCTAACTTATTTTGATAAGCGCTGTAGTGGCTAAAGTTCCCTTCTTACGTTCGGCAGTTGCTTCTTCAGTTCTTAATTTCTTTAACCACTCCAAAACGGAAAGAACGAGTCTACGCGTGTTTAATGTGTTGAACAACGGTAGAAAACAGTGTGTTCGCTCCGTTCGCTTTACTGAATGATCTGACAGAGGAAAATTACACAGCGTTTTCTCGCTTCGTCAAAGCACAGGTGCCTTACGTCATAAGTCAGTGCGCTCGCGTCACTCCTATGTATTACACCAAGCATGTACACTAAACGTGTATTAACTAACATGCAAATTTTGAGTACAATTATGTAATCACAGTGTAATTATACTTATGATATAATAAATCATCAATAAACATGAATCAAAATAATATCAATCTAAATCTAAATTACGACATGGAAAATGGCACTAACATTTCCGGCCCCTAATTGCTCATTATGGGAATGACAATTACATACTAACTAACTAAATAGACATTTTCTGCATCCAAATCAACTTATGTACTCCTTTACTAGGTCTAACACAACATGAACAGCCTAGGTACATTCAGGTGACGTTTACAAGATAGACAATCATAGAAAATAACAAAGTCTAAGTAATACTGTCCTTCATTGTCCATGAGATTCTTCCATCTCAAGCAGGAGACACAACTTGTTTATGGGTCTCTCCAAGGTGTTGGTCTTTGTTTTGACGAGGACCCGACGGACAAAACCTAAGGCGTCGGGAATTGTCTTCTCCACTTTTACCATCAACCAGGACCCTCTTGGAGCCCTGTCATCCACAATGAGTACGACGTCTCCCTCTTTCACATTTCTCTTTGTCTCCAGCCACTTCTGCCTTTCTTGTAGAAGGGGCAAGTATTCTCTGGACCAACGCTTCCAGAAGATGTCAGAGATATACTGCACCTGCCTCCATCTTCGTTTGGAGTATAGATCCTCCTTCTGAAACATCCCTGGAGGGAGTGCTGGTTTTCCCTTGAGAATGTAAGAATACGTGTTCAAGATTTGGAGCCTGGTCGGGGTTATCAAAAATTCAGCCGAATAACTTCTCTCGTTCTGGAAAATGTATTTGTCAGATCACAGGTCAAGTAACAGCGCTGCGTTTGCAAAGGCAGGAGCAGTTCAGGCAGCACACAGGCCGGAAGAACAACTAACTAACATCAGCAAGAACATCATGTTTTATAACCCTTGAAAGACAGAGAAGGAAATATTTCTATTGGCCCTAAACTGGCGTAGAGGAGGACCTTCCACCTCCCGCATCTAAGATCCGGTCACATCCAATGTCCAGACTCCTGACTTAACGTAAACATCGTAAACAGAGTGTGTATGTTGAATAGTGTTGGTGTGTCTCTAACCCCCCTTTGGCTGGTAAATCTTCTAGTTGACCCGCAGACCTTACATTCCTCAGCCAGGACATAAACTGACTCCCCATCCTGTCAGACTCGTGTCTGCCTGCTTGGCAGATCCTGCTTACCCCTTACCTAACTCTTAAATCAAGACAAGACAGCAAAACCCCCAACTAAGCCCATGAAAATAACTTTTGATTATCAAGAAGGAGAAGGTGGTTCGGTGTCAGTGGCTCGAGGTCGTCCACATCATCAGATGATTTGGTAAGGGGTCTGCTGTTGATCACCGCTTCTACTTCACACATCACCGTTTGCAGACATTCGTCGTCGAGTGACTGAAGCTTCAGAAGGTTGGTAAGTATCTTCCGGACTGTTCTTATCTGTCGCTCCCAGATGCCACCGTAGTGCGACACGGCAGGTGGGTTGAAGATCCAAGTGACTTCTCTCTGCAGTAGGGCCTCTGAGATCTGGGACTTGTTCCATTCTTTTATCGCCTGGCGGATCTCGTGTTCTGTAGCTACCAGGTTTGTTCCGTTATCGGATCTCATGACCTCCACTTGCCCTCTTCTGGCTATGAAACGTCTCATTGCATTTATGCACGAGTCGGTGTCGAGAGAATGTGCAATTTCTAAGTGGACTGCTCTGACTGTAAGACAAGTGAACAGGACTCCATAACGCTTGACTTGCACGTGTCTACGCTTTGCCTCAAAGGGGCCAAAATAGTCTACACCGACGTTGGTAAATGGTGGATGGTCGGGCAGTAGACGATCGGGTGGTAGGTTCGCCATCTTCTGCCTACTCACAGCGGCTTGACTCTTGCGACATTTCACACACTTTGAGAGCACGCTTCTCACAGCTGTGTTGCCTTTGCAGATCCAGACCCTTTGTCTCAGCTGAGCAAGGGTGTGGTTTCTCCCTCCATGTCCAATTTCTTTGTGAGCATTCCTGATGATCAGGGTCGTGACGTGATGATCTTTGGCCAGGATGGCTGGATGCTTAGTGTGTTCTGGCAAAGCTGCCTGGTGCAACCTTCCACCAACCCGGAGAACCCCATCTTGGAGGAAAGGATCCAGCTTCACAATAGAGCTGCTTCTCTTGACCTTTTCACCTCTCAGCAGTGCGCAAAGCTCTTCATGGAAGGTTTGACTTTGGCTAAAGTGAATGATGGCAGTTTCTGCTCTTCTGACGTCCTTGACAGTCAAGTGAGTTCCTTTCAGGGTAGATCTCCATTTCT